GAGATAGATTGATGGTGAGAAGAGGAGGGAGAGGGGGGACGAGAGGAGCAGTATGGCAGACGATATGATAAGATCTCGTGACAAACCCAACAAACTCGAGTGAAGATTGTTTTTTCTCACTCTCAGGTCAAACCAGGGTAGATGGCAGTTCACAAGGGTGATAGTATAGTTGCTGATGGAGTTAGAGTCGGAGTTGGAGTTGATGATGATATAGATGATGACGACAACACAAACACGACGATAATGTCTCAGATTATGAGACTTTCTTGTTCCTTCACTCACTCCCTCTCTCCAGGCATGGAAGCACTTCAATCCTTGTGAAAGTTTTGGCCGAGTTTGACCATGGGAGCAATGAGATCGTTTTCTATTATCGTGAGTATCCTGTTCGTGACATGGCGCCCAATCAGCGTCTCCACTCGTCCTTCAGCGTCCCCTCACAGCTTCCGTGTTGCCATCGCAAACCCGCATTCACTGTCTACTACATCAGAGACCCTTCATCCTTCTCATCCTCCTCCTCCATCTCTTATCCCCCCCCGTCCTCCTTCCCGCACAGCCGGGTCACTGAGACTGAGAGGAGGCGACGCTAGCGACGAGAGCCACCTCTACACCTACAGGGCCCTCGAGGTCCTGGAACGTGCCCAGTCGAAGGCGAAGGTGTACAAGAACCCGGAGCTGACCCCCGTGCACATCGTTGTGGTGATGCTGGAGGACAAGAAGGGGATCGGGCGGGAGATCCTGGCGAGCGCTACGAACGAGGAGCGGAAGAACGACGTGCTGGAGCTGGTGACAAAGAGTCTAGAGCGATGGCTCGCCAACCATCGGACTGATCGGGCAGCGGCTGGGGAGGAGCTGAACATCAGCCCGAGGCTGCAGAACCTGCTGTACAAGGCGGTCAACGACATGAAGGGAGAGAAAGTAGACGTTTTCGAGCTGTTCCTCTTGTCAGTCGAGATGGACGACGTGGTGAGGTCAGCGCTGGAGGAAGCGGGGGTGAACCCGAACAAGCTGTCGGGGGCGGCGAGGAGGCTCAAGGCTGTCAAGAGCGAGCAGAGCTTCACTGAGCTAGAGAAGTACTCAAAGGACTTGATCGCCGAGGCCCGTGCAGGGAAGTTGGACCCTGTGATCGGAAGGGAGGACGAGATCCGAAGGCTGGTCCAGATCCTCTGCAGGCGGACCAAGAACAACCCAGTGCTAGTGGGTGAGCCAGGAGTAGGGAAGACGGCGATCGTGGAGGGGCTGGCGCAGCGGATTCTTGACGGGGATGTAGCGAGCACGCTGAGGGAGTGCAAGCTGTTCACGCTCGACTTCGGGTCGCTGGTGGCCAACACGGCGTTCCGAGGGAACTTCGAGCAGAGGATGCGCGACATCCTGGAGGAGATCGAGAAGTCGGAAGGTAAGGTGATCCTCTTCATCGACGAGCTTCACCTGCTCATCGGCGCGGGGAACGAGAAAGGGGAGATGGACGCGGCGAACCTGCTGAAGCCAGCGCTTGCTCGGGGCCAGATCCGGTGCATCGGGGCCACCACCTACGACGAGTACAGGAAGTACATCGAGAGCGACGGGGCGCTGGAGCGGAGGTTTCAGATGATCCACGTGGGAGAGCCGAGCGTGCAGGACGCGATTTCCATCCTGAGGGGGGTCAAGGAGAAGTTCGAGGCCCACCATGGCGTGCGGATCTCGGACGCGGCGCTGGTGCAGGCGTGTGAGCTGAGCTCGCGGTACATCACCATGCGCTTCCTCCCCGACAAGGCCATTGACCTGGTGGACGAGGCCTGCTCTTCCATCCGCGTCCAGCTGGACTCGAAGCCGGAGGAGATCGACAGGCTCGAGAGGCGTCGGCTGCAGCTGGACGTAGAGCTGAGGGTTCTCAGGAAGGACCTCAACGACCCCTCGTCCGCCCTCCGCGCGGCTGAGATCCAGGCGCAGGTCGACAGGATCAACATGGAGCTGGGGCCTCTGCAGGCAGCGTACAAGGAGGAGAGGTTCAGGAGGAGGAGGCTGCACGACCTACGCCAGCAGATCGAACAGACGAAGCTGAGCATCTCGGAGCTGGAGCGGCGCTACCTCCTCGACCGAGTCGCCGAGCTCAAGTACGACGTGCTCCCTGCCCTGCAGCAGGAGCTTCAGAACCTGACGGCCTCGAGCGCGGGCTCCCTCCCGATCTTCTCCGGTGAGGTGGTGGGTCCGGACGAGGTTCGTTCCATCGTGTCTCGCTGGACGGGCATCCCTGTTGCCCGGCTGGGGAAGACGGAGAGGAGCCGGTTGCTGGAGCTCAAGTCAGAGATCCGAAAGCGAGTGGTCGGGCAGGAGGAAGCGGTTGACGCGGTGAGCACGGCGATCCTCCGGTCGAGGGTTGGGATCTCTCCTGTGAGACTCCCGTCCTGCTCTGCTCTCTTCCTAGGGCCCACGGGCGTCGGCAAGACTGAATTGAGGTGAGAAGCTCTGCTCCCGCTCTTTTCTCTCCCAAACTGGGACCCCATCATCATCACTACCACATCCACCTCCCCCTCCTCCTCGTCCTCTTCCACCTTCTCCTCCTTGACCTCCTCCTTCTTCTTCTCCTTCTCCTCCTTCATGTCCTATTCCTCGCTCTTCTTCTGGTTTATCACATCTTACTGTTTCCCTTCCCCACATCATTCATACCAATCTCTCCTCCTTTCGCCCCCCCCTCCTCCTCCTCCACCCTTGGTATGTCCTGCCCTCCTCCTTTCCTGCCCTCCTCCCTCCTCCCTCCTCTTTCATACCTCAACCCCGACAAATGATGCACGGATTCCTTCCTCCTTCATTATAGCAATCCTTGGTGTCTCCACTCATCTGCACCCCTTCTCGGTCATTGTCCACCATTCCGCCTAACAGCTGAACGGAGGGGATGGAAGACAGGACTTTCTGGGACCGACCGCATCCCCACAACAGGAAAGTGTCACAGGATCTTCACGCAGTCCTCT